AAACGAATGTAGCTCACGGCGCCCATTATACTCGTGAGCTTGGTGACCTTTTACAAGAAGGGGGGTGTGACCGGCTTCCCACTTACAGGGAGGTCCCACTGCTCCAAGGCTCCCTCAGCCACATTTTGGCTCTTACGTGACTGAGAGCTAAGGGCAGGGCGATCACTGTGTCCAGAGTCCCTTTCCTTCGCACCCTTTTCCCTAGCTGGCTTTCCTCCCACCTCACACCCTGTCCCAGTCTTTGTTCTTGCAGTGCTGGAAAGACTTGGTGGTGCAGGGGGAAGTCAACACAGCCTGAGTGCATATCGAGCGGCTGCAGCTTCTCCCTTTTCAGCCCTGCCGTGAAGGGGTTCCTGCAGCCTCCCTGCAATCCCCACGTAACCCCTCTGCCCAACCGCACAAAGTAGCCTAAGATTTGGAAAAAGCAGGGCAGGAGACCTGTGCCTTGCTTATAAGCCAACAGACCCAGGAGGTCCTGGCACTCCAAGCTTTCCACGGCTCACATACCCCAAGTCTTTACCCAACCTCTCTCACCTTTGTCTCCCGGTGGGCTGGCACTGTTTTCTGTCCTGGTTATGGGTTAACTCCTATTTGTCTGTTGTCTTCTCTGCTTCTTCCTCTGGAGGCAAAAAGGACAAGACAGAAACGGGATGTCAATCAGCACGATGGAAGATGGGTCTGCAAGCCCCTATTTCTCTCTCTCGCTTATCCTTACCTGGACCTGTGGCGACTGTCCTCTATCCGTGGAGATGGGGGGAGGCCAGACGTCTGTAGTCTGGGCTGCCGACATACGGGCCAGCCAAGAGCAGAGCGCAACGGGCCAGGACTCTGGACAGAAGTGCTAGGATGGCACCATGAAGGTGACCACAGACACCAGCAACCCTACTTACAGGGCTGTGCTCCCTGCACACAGCTGGCTGCGGGGCATGAAGCCCAGAGAAAACCTGTAAAGCCCTGAATGCCAGCTGACGGGTGCCTCAGGCGGTCTCAATCAGGGCTCAAAGCAGCCTCGTGTCTGGGGACACAAAGGCCATTACTTCAGCCTCCCATCGTGGCTGATACAGAGCCCAAAGGGCTAAAGGAGGCCTCCTCCCCCAAGGTCAGAGGGGTTGGGGGGGGCGCAGCCCTGTTTACAGGGTGCGAGTGGAGACCATCTCAATGGTGCCAGGAGCAGCAGAGCAGAGACCTGGACCTGAGTTACAGGAAGGTCACAAAGCCTCAGGGGTCCCAGCACACCCAGTATCCTCCACAAGCCTGCAACCTTCCCTGTAGTCTGTGGGGATCATCTGTGGCCAACCTCACCGAGTGGGACGAGACCCAACCCGGAGGATCAAGGTGGCCTGGACCCTGCTTACAGGCTGCAGGCCGGGGCGCAGAGCAACGGCTGGCCAAGTGCCAGGGCACTCGTCCCCAGGGACTCAGGTGGGGAATACGTGGCTGTCTCAAGGAGGGCAGGAACTGCAAATCGAGCTACCAAGTGCCCAAAGGACCCCAAAAAGAGGGGGCCTAAGGCCTGTACCCTGAAATACAGGGAGGCCGTGGGCCCCAAAGTATTAGAGAGGGGGCCTAATGCTCCCCAAGACCAAAAGGCCTGGAAATCCGTCCCCCTAGGTATGGAGGTGGGAGGAAAAGGCTACAAGGACGCATCGCGCCCCTTTCCCAGCACTGGGAAGAAAATAAAGTACGCTGCAGCGATTTTAACAACAAAAAGAAAATAACAAACGCTTTCGCTCCCAGGCGCTCCTCTCTCTCGCTCTCCACACATGGACAAGGGAAAAAGTGTTCCCAGGCTGGAAAGGAGCTCGATGCTGCAAACTGCTTGACCTCGAACCTTGCTCTGAAAATCCTCCTCTGCTCCCAGGGGGCAAGAAAGCTGAGACCGGCACCCTCGTTACAGGGCACGGCCCGCCTGGCTAGTCAGACTGCCCACGGGGGGCAAAAGGGAGAGGCCCACCGCCCTGCTTACAGGTAGGGCCATCAGGCCTGGCAAAGGACAGGGCTGTCCCCAAAGGCACGTAGAGACCTGAACCCTGCTTACAGGGCGGGCCACAGCTCTGCAGAACCTAGGCGTGCAACAGGATGCACAGGACTCGCACCCTCGTTACAGGGCACAGTCCGTGTGACTAGCCACACTGCCCATGGGGGGCAAGAAGCAAAGGCGCAGAGCCCTGCTTACAGGGCGGGCCACACCTCTGCAGAACCTAGGTGTGCAACAGGATGCACAGGACTCGCACCCTCGTTACAGGGCACAGTCCGTGTGACTAGCCACACTGCCCAAGAGGGGCAAAAGGGGAAGGCCCATAGCCCTGGTTACAAGGAGGGCCACAGCCAGGCAAAGGATAGAGCTGTCCCTTAAAGGCACATTGAGACCTGGACCCTGATTACAGGGTGGTCCACTGCTCTGCGCAATCTAGCCCTCCAACAAGAGACACGGGACTCGCACCCTCCTTACAGGGCACAGTCCATCTCGCTTGCCACGCTGCCCAAGAGGGGCAAAAGGGAAAGGCCCACAGCCAGACCAAGGACAGGGCTGCCCTCAAAGGCACATTGAGACCTGCACCCTGCTTACAGGGGGGTCCACAGCTCTGTGCAATCTAACCCTGCACCAAGGGACATGGGACTCACACCCTCCTTAGAGGGTGGCCCAGCTGTCTGGATGTGGAGTGCCAGGCATAGATGCATGAAAAAGGACAGGTGCCTGGACACACGGATCAGAGAGGAGGCCACAGGCTTCAACCCAGACCACGGGAAGGTCATCAAGCTCTGGGGTCTAAGGAGTTTGCCGCCACCCCACGAGACTCAGCTCCAGTATGCGAGGCTGCCCTGCGGCACCGCGCTGCAGACTGCTCCGGCTGTCTACACCAGTGGAAGGAGGCTACGTCCACCCTGCTTACAGGTGCTCCTCTCCAACTGGCTGGAAACAGCAGCGGACTTTGACTCCCAATTACAGGATGTCCAGTGCTAGGAACATTCAAATTGCCTGTCATTCTTACACGGTAAGACGCACCAAGCACCCTACTCACAGGAGGCTGCGCCCCTGACAGTCATGTTTGGCAGCTGGCCCAGGCCCCGCATACAGGGCGGCCCCACTGCACAAGACCACCGACTAGATCCACACTCTTTATAAAGGAGGCGGCGGTGACACACGCCTTGCTTACAGGGTTGTCCACTTCCACCCAACTGCCGCAGAAGCGCAACAGCATCAAACGCACAAGCTCGTTACTGCGTTACAGAGAGCTCATGCAGCCAAAATTTGGCTAATGCATGACTGATACTTAAAGGCAGGGAGATCACTCTGTCCAGAGTCCTTTTCCTTCGCATCCCATTTTCCTGGCTTTCCACCCTGGTGTGGTTCGCCCGCTGCTTGTCCTTCTGGCAGCTGCAAAAAGGAGAAAGAAAAGAAATAAGGACCCACCCCCGACAAAGAAACAGAGACAGTCTGGGTGTAAGGCATGGGGCCAGAGACTGAGACAGGGAGTTGTAATGTCTGTTTGGTCCTTCCCTGCCGCCCCTGTCAAGCCGTCTTCTTCTGTTTGACAGAGGGGCGAGCAGGAATCTCCTTGTTCAGCTCCCAAAGACTGGCTCAGCTGGAAATGGAAAGCCATGGGCCACAAGCCTACAGGCCCAACTCGTACCACATCACAAGATATGGCAGCACAAGGCACCTGGAATCCTACTTACAGGATGGTGCCCGCCCCCACTCCGCGCAAACACCAGCTGCCATGGGACAAGGCTGACCAAACGCTGGTTGCTCAGGCAGTGCGGTTCAAGGAAACAAGCATCCGCACACATGGAGGACAATGGGCAGAAGCTACAACGTCCTCGACAGCAAAGTCAAACCCCTCAAAGGACCAAAAAAACATTCAAAACACCTGCATTCAAGTTGGGGATGTAACCAAACCCCAGGTAACAGCAGTGAGTGGGGGAAGGAACGACTGTCTGCTTGCGGCTGCCAGACCGAACCCAAGTGACAGCAAGCTCACAACGCCCAGCGTCCTAAAGAGCTTGCTGCCTTGGAAAAACAAAGCAGACGTGACATGCCTCTGGTTTACAAGATCCTCAGTACTCCACCTAAAACTTATCCGCGTATGACAACATCAGGAGCTAAGACAAATCCTGCTCATAAGAAGGTGCCAACAATCCAGGACTTCCAAGCCCCCTGACCCCAAGGTCTACAGCTTGGCAAAGGGACCAAAAATAAAGAAAGAAAGAGGGGCTGCATCGAAACTCCCTTACCTTTGCATGGTTTTCCTCCCTCCTTGTCCGCTGACTCCTGCTTGTGCACCGTTTTTCCAGCTGCTCCTATCAGGGCCTATAATAAACAGAGACAGACACTGCATTTAACCCACCATGTTGAAAGACAAGTCTAAGGGCTGCAACTTCTCTCCCACTTTAAGCCATACCTGAATCCGGTGCCAATCTGTCCTCTATCCATGGAGATGGGGGAGGGCAGACGCCTGTGGTCTCGGCTGCTGACATCCAGGCCAGCCAGGAGCAGAGCGCCACGGGCCAGGACTCTGGACAGAAGTGCTGGGACGGCACCATGAAGGTGACCACAGACACCGGCAACCCTGCTTACTGGGCAGTGCTCCCTGCACACAGCTGGCTGCGGGGCATGAAGCCCAGAGAAAACCTGTAAAGCCCTGAATGCCAGCTGACGGGTGCCTCAGGCGGTCTCAATCAGGGCTCAAAGCAGCCCCGTGTCTGGGGACACAAAGGCCATTACTTCAGCCTCCCATCACGACTGCCACAGAGCCCAAAGGGCTAAAGGAGGCCTCCTCCCCCCGAAGTCAGAGGGGTTGGGGGGGCACAGCCCTGTTTACAGGGTGCAAGAGGAGACCATCTCAATGGTGCCAGGAGCAGCAGAGCAGAGGAGCAGAGACCTGGACCTGAGTTACAGGAAGGTCACGAAGCCTCAGGGGTCCCAGCGCACCCAGTATCTTCCACAAGCCTGCAACCTTCCCTGCAGTCTGTGGGTATCATCTGTGGCCAACCTCACCGAGTGGGACGAGACCCGACCCGGAGAATCAAGGGGGCCTGGACCCTGCTTACAGGCTGCAGGCCGGGGGCGGGGGCGCAGAGCAAGGGCTGGCCAAGTGCCAGGGCACTCGTCCCCAGGGACTCGGCTGGGGAACACGTGGCTGTCTCTCAAGGAGCGCAGGAACTGCAATTGAGCTACCAAGTGCCCAAAGGACCCCAAAAAGAGGGGGTCTAAGGCCTGTACCCTGAACTACAGGGAGGCCGTGTGCCCCAAAGTATTAGAGAGGGGGCCTAATGCTCCCCGAGACCAAAAGGCCTGGAAATCCGTCCCCCTAGGTATGGAGGTGGGAGGAAAAGGCTACGAGGACGCATCTCGCCCCTTTTCCAGCACTGGGAAGAAAATAAAGTACGCTGCAGCGGTTTTAACAACAAAAAGAAAATAACAAATGCTTTCGCTCCCAGGCGCTCCTCTCTCTCGCTCTCCACACTCTCACAAGGGTAAAAAGTGTTCCCAGGCTGGAAAGGAGCTCGATGCTGCAAACTGCTTGACCTCGAACCTTATACTGAAAATCCTCCTCCGCTCCCAGGGGGCGACAAGGCTGAGACCAGCACCCTCGTTACAGGGCACGGCCCGCCTGGCTAGTCAGACTGCCCACGGGGGGCAAAAGGGCGGCCCAGACCCCCGTTTACAGGGGGGGCCACCAGGCCAGGCAAAGGACAGGGCTGTCCCCAAAGGGACATAGGGAGCTGGACCCTGCTTACAGGGATGTCCACTGCTCTGCGCTATTTAGCCTTCCACCAGGGGCACGGGACTTGCACCCTTGTTACAGGGCGGCCCAGGGGTCCAGACGTGGAGTCAGACACAGATGCATGAAAAAGGACAGGTGCCTGGACACAGGGGGAGAGGAGGTCACAGACTTCAACCCAGACCACGGGAAAGTCATCAAGTTCTGGGGTCTAAAGAGCTGGCTGTCACCCCATGAGGCTCGGCTCTGGTGTGCAAGGCCGCCCTGCAGCACAACACTGCAAACTGCTCCGGCTATCTAAGGCCAGCGGAAGGAGGCTACGTCCACCCTGCTTACAGGGGCTCCTCTTCGATTGGCCAGGAATAGCAGTGGACTTTGACTCCCAATTACAGGATGTCCAGCGCTAGACATTTTTTCTCATGTTAGAAGGCAGCACGCACCCCACTTACGGGTTGCTGTGCAATTTGCAGCCAAGTCTGACAGCTAGCCTCGACTCCGATTACAGGGTGGGGCTGTGCTGTGCAAGACCACTAACCAGGTCCACGGCCTTTACAAACGTGGTGGTGGAGACACACCTTGATTACAGGATTAACCGCCTTCCACCTGACTGCTGCAAAAGTGCAACAACAGCAAGGGCAGAGACTCGTTTGAGTTACAGGGAGCTCACCCAAAGGCTCACAAAGCCGAAATTTGGCTAAGACATGATCGAGACCTAAAGGCAGGGATGCCACTCTGTCCAGAGTCCCTTTCCTTCACATCCCGTTTCTCTGACTGGCTTTTCTCCTACCTCGCCTCTTCCTCGCTGCGTTCCCCATCCGCGTCTCCTTCCGGTTCTTCCGAGGCCTGCAAGAACAGAGACCAAGACGGGCTATAAGCAAGCAGAGCCAGAGCATACATCCAGCAGCTTGAACTCTTAATGCACTTAGTATCCTCTGGAAACTTGCAACCTCCCCTGTAACGCACAGGCAATACCTCTGGCCAACTTCAGAAAGTAACCTCAGACAAGCAATAAAGGCAGAGTAACTGAACCTTGCTCCCAGACTAGGGGCACGGGAAATCCCATCCCAAACCTTCCAAATCCCAGGTGTGCAACTTAGCAATGAAACCCGTGGAATGGACGCTCCCCGTGTCCAATTTCTCTTACCTTTACCTCCTGTTTGGCTGGCCTGGCCTTCTTCCCTTCCGGTCAGCTCACTGCTGCTCGCCTGCCGTCCCGTCTGCTTGTCTTTCCTGGGGCGATGCGCATCGACCCTCAAAGGGGACCGGGCTCGCGGGATTCGGGGTTGCAGCCTCAGGTGGCTGGTCCAGGCAAGCGATGTCTTCCATCAATCCCTTTTCAGCAAGGGATTCAGCATCCTGGACGACCAGCTCAAACACACTCAGCACACACTCAGTGGTTACAAGGGAACCACTGCAGAAATTAAAGGGGGCAGCGGGTGGGGAAACTTGGATGTGAAATAACAGGAGAGAAGAGGAGAGAAACAGCGCAGCAGGGAAGGATGAACTTGGAGGCGAAAGGCACCAGATATCAAGGAGGTGCCTGGCAGATCAATTTTATTTGTCCATTAAAAAGCAGACAAGCTCACAGCTGTGTTGTCTTCTCTGCTGGTTTTCTTTGGCGGCGCCCCGTGTGCTCGTGCTTCCCCATGGGATGGCCTTGAGAGGGCACGAGCCCCCTCAAGTGACCACCAGTGCTTGACCGCCCACAGAGCTAGGCAGCACCACACCGTAGCTCGGGCTTGGGGGTGTGAAAGACTGTCAG